GCTGATGCTCACTGCACACAAGAGAAAGACAGAAAGAAGAGAAATTAAGCCTCGAATATTTGTGTAAGGCAGCTATCTCTTACCTAAAATTACAACAGGCCAACAGCCGACGTTCCAATTACAAGTTTAAAAAAGCGTCTATATCGTTAAGTAACAATACAAAAATTGGCTTTCCCCGGACTTAGGTTTCTCTCATGCTTGGAATTTTCTTTGCAAAGGGCTTGTAGCCGTTCAAAAAAACAAACAAACCACGTCCTCATCCCGGAGCCGCCGCTTGAGTAACTTTTACAAAAGGTCAAAGCGGTGCCTTTCAAACCTTCCGAAGCCTACTGGCTTCTCCTCGGTTCGCAGCAACTCACTTTCCACCCACAGAACGTTCCAGAGACCAAGACACGGGGACCCAACAAAACTGGGTGGGGGTTGCAGAAAGGAGCTGGCAACTTTCTTCCCCAACACACATACCGAATTTCACCTTCCTCGCTCCGCCGCCCCACATGTTGCTCGCCTCTCCCAGCGGGCCCCGCGCACCCCGCTCCCACCCCCGGAACGCGCCCACCTGATCGCCCTTCCCCGCAGGCTCCGCCCCCCGCGCCTGTGGGCCTCCGCCAGGGGCTCCATATGGGACACCTTCTCCTTCCTCCGAGCCTCACGCCCCACCAGACCAGGCTCGCGTCCCCCGCTTCCCTGTCCCCCCGCGTCGGCCCTCCCCGCCCGTCGCGTCCTAAGGGGCGAGCGCGCGCCAGGGGGGCCGCGGGCCTGCGCAGCCCGGGTGCTGTGTCAGCCTATCTGCCGGCTCCGCGGCGTGGACGGCCTGGAAAGTCACATGGCGGTGGGACCGGCCCGCGCCTCCACGCTCCCGCTCCCTTCGGGGCAGGACAAGATAGCCCGGTCCACTCACCTCCACGAAGAGCAACATGCCTTCCCGGTTCGACCCAATCGTTCTCGCCGCTGCTACTCCAAAAGGCTTACAGGCCCGAGCCCCGAACGCTGGGATAAGGACACTCGCCCGGCCCAACCACCCGGCAGCGGACCCGGCTCCTCCCCCGCCGTCAGCCGCTGAGTTCTGACCCGCCCAGTCCCACCTCCCGAGAAACATCAACTGTTTCCTGTGCTAAAGAACAATTGCTTCCGGGAGCAAAGACAATCCTCGGCGCATTCCACTTTGGCACCACCTTTTCCTTTCCAGCGGCAGCCTGGGATGTACTACCGTCGGTCGGGGGGGGGGGAGGGAAGCGGTCCGGGAAGGCACCATTCTGTGCGACGGGGGTGTGTAAGGGTCTTACTGCATTTCAACCATTGCAAAGCGGCCACAGTTTCGCAGTTTTCATAGCTCAAAATCTACATCTCATAAAAAGCCGAGCTTGTGCGAAATGTTCTCTTTCTTTCTTTCCTTTTTTTTTTTTTTTAGTGTGTGTGCCAAGTGTTCCGAAAGAATGCCCAACCCTGCCGAAAAGGTGGTGGCTCACAGAAAAAAAGTAGAGAAGGAAAAAAAACCACAGTAATAGTAAACATATTAATAGCAGCAGCTGTATTAAACGCTTACTGTGTGCTTGGCACTATTCTAAGTATTTTACGGTAATCTTAAAACCATTACATGCAGTAAATGCTATTATCCGCATTTTACAGTTAATCCTCCTAAGAGGGCGGGTTTCATTTAGACACACCTTTAAGGAACTTTGCCCTTGTTAGTTTGTTTGTTTTTTAATCAGATACCCACATCTCCGCTTAATATCATGCTACTTTCTAATACTTAATCTGGATAGCTTCCTCTTGATGTTCTGCCATCAATTCAAATGGAATATAAAAAAAATTTTTTAGAGTGTAAAGTGAAATAAGTTTATTAGTGAAGCAGTGAGACAGACAGACAAGGCTACTCCACAGGCAGAGCAGCCAAAACAACAAAAATTCTCACTTTTCTGTTAGATGGTCCAAATTCCTTATTATACCTCCCTCATCAGTCCCACTTCTATATCCTGGTTCAGGCACTCACTTTTGAAATAATCATGTCTTGATTTTTTCCATTCTATTATATAAACTGAAGGTTTCATTTTCACTAAACTGCTGTGACTTGCTTTCAAGACCATTCTGAGCCCATGTAATCTCCCTTTACCTCAAATGAATTTCTTTACTTTTTCAATTAGATAGTAAATCAATTCCCCCATCAAATTGTTGATATTTGTGTCTCATACTCTTCCTAATCTGATCATCAGTAAATGCAACATTATTTCATATCAATTAAACCAATCTCCTCACTTTTCCCCCTGAAATACAAGCTCAGCACTCACCTCCAAAGCCATGGCTCAAAGTGTCTTCCCTCTCTGGAAAGCCTTCATTTATCAATCAACCTTCTCTCTCCATAAGGTTTTCCCAAAGACTGTACTCCCCACAGATCTCTTCTTCATGTCCCTTGTTAGCACTTGAATATTATATTCTATCTTGTTATTTTCTTTTTTCTGTTTCTTTACAGGTACCCTATTATATTCTTCAAAGTCTAGGATAATGGTAGTCACATAGTAGTGTCTCAAAAAATGCTTCTCCAATTGAAAGGGAAGGAGAGTTTTAAATTTGCTTTAAAAAATCTTCATTTCCAGTTGCTGATGAATTCCATGCTGCATAAAAAATATGAGAGCACAATAATGCTAAATTAGTTTAGTTGATAAGCATGCTGGCTGCTTTGTGAATGCCTATTGGAGTAAGCAATGTAAAGAAATCAAGAGCAATAAAGACAATTTAAGGATCTCACAATGTAATATTTTCAACAAAGTACTTAAACAAATTAATTGATAATGACAAATGCTGGATAATGATGGATATTTTCACAAACCTCACATTTATAAAAATAAATAATTTTCTTTAATCGTGGTCCTTTCAGAAAACATCATGAACTTCCTTGAATAAATATACTTAATTGTGATTTACAGAAAAGGAGGGAGTAAATAATTTATGAGTAGGGGCAGGATGGGCAGTCTAACAATAAAAGAAAGTATTCTGGCCCTAGCCGATTTGGCTCAGTGGATAGAGCGTTGGCCTGTTGACTGAAGGGCTCCAGGTTCGATTCTGGTCAAGGGCAAATGCCCAGGTTATAGGCTTGATTCCCAGTAGGGGGCTTGCAGGAGGCAGCCAATTAATGATTCTCTCTCACATCATTGATGCTTCTATCCTCCCTTCCTCTCTGAAATCAATAAAAAAATTTTTTTAATTAAAAAAAAAGAAAATGTTCTGGGGCTTAGAAAAGTTTCTGTAAGGAGAGAAATCTGAAATTATAATAGATATCCAAATTTAGACAGTATCTGTAGAGAAAATGAGAAAGAATACATCAAATGTTAGAAGAAGAAAATGAAGTACAGCATCTGGTTTTGAGTTTGCACTAATGGTAGAGACAAATGATAGCTACACTTTAATGAGATAAGTACTATAATAGAAAGTTTACAAAGTGACTTGAGAAAACAGGAAGTAACTTAGACAACAGGATCTTAAAGAGAAGAAAAAATATCTAATTTGCTCTCTGTATATTGATATTTTTAAAAGACAACTGCTTTATGATCCTCTGCTTCCCTTTTTCTGAAAGCCTGCAACATATCAGTTGTTTAACTTCACAAGTTTACAACAAGGACTCAATGTAGGACTAAATTTACAATAAGGTTACAGTAAGGACTCAATTGGAAGTTCTTATAGAGAAATTAAGTAATACATCCACAACTTGTATAAAATGTAAAACCTATGAAACAATATTATATAGTTTATTAATATATACACTGGTGGTAAACTACATAAACATAGACTAGACATAAATATATCTAATTCATGACAGTCATTGCCTCTAAAAAGGGACAGAGGGGAAGGAAGGAGTCTGGGGAGAATACCAAAGGGACTTCAACTTATATCTAATGCTTTCTTTTAAAAAGATTTGAAGCAGCCCTAGCTGGTTTGGCTCATTGGATAGAGCATTGGCCTGCGGGCTGAAGGGTCCCAGGTTTGATTGCGGTCAAGGACACGTGCCCGGGTTTCGGGCTCGATCCCCAGTAGGGGGCATACAGGAGGCGGCCAATCAATGATTCTCTCTCATTGATGTTTCTATCTCTCTCACCCTCTCCATTCCTCTCTCAAATCAATAATAAAAAAGATCTGAAGCAGATATGACAAAATGTTAATATTTGTTCATTCTAGGTGACAGACACATGATTATTATATTTACTTTCTGTACTTTTTCATATTTTTTGAATTAAAAAATAAGAAAGCTATACAGCCAACAAAACCACTGTCCTTTAATTTCTCTAGCCTCTTACATCCTTTCACATCCTCTGCAATCAAAGAAGCTACCCAAAGTACTCCTCTTTCAGTTAGAAAGTAACCTCTAGTACCCTTCCATTTCTGGAGCCAACTATGGAACTTCAAAGCCTTCTTCAGTCAGGTTCCTTGAAAAAGACAGGTAACTAGGCAGTGCAAAGAGTATAGTCATCATTCAAAGAATATCTTCTAAGTTATTACATGTCTAGGAAAAGTTGAGGGGCAGCTGAGGAAGTTGTAACACAATTACTCCATTACAGGCTTAAATATTCTTAAGCAAAAATTCAAGAAGAGAGAAGAACCAGGAGTTACATTTCATACACTGGATCTTGAATTCTAACACCTAGATTTTAAGCTAATTTAAGCAGGGCTATATTTCTATTTCTTTTATCATTCCTGTTGTCTGTTCTTTCCACCCTCCGCCCTGCACCCTTCCACCAACACAGCATATAGAATGCCTGGTTCTCTGCATATAGTAAGCACTCTTAGAATGTTTGAGTCAATGATAATGTCACAACAGGTCTATTATGACATCATGAGGACCAGAACACCATGGTTAGCAACAAATTAGTGGCGAGGTAAACCACAATCTCTGAGAGCAGGAAAGACTTCTTTTAGCTTCCTTGGGGACACGTTTATTACCATTTGCCTATATTCTGAGGAGGAAATAAAGAAGAAGAAGAAATAAAAGAAAATCACTTGACTTTACCAAAATGAAAAATGAGACACACAGTGAGTCTGATTCAGAAAAGAAAGCTGTGGATTACACCATCCAACCCAAAGCGGACCCTGAGGCCTCTAGACTTGAGACCCCTGCCTCAGTGCAGGACGTCATGTCTAAGATTGAGCAAGCACAGCTCCTTCGAGCCAGAGAGGTAGGTATAGTTCATGAGAATTGTATAGGTTGTAACTTACTTTTTCTTTAACTTTTCATGACCAGCTATGTTTTTTTATAACTCATTTTATTCGCATGAAATTTGACTGTTTAAGGTCATTTTGATTTCAAATGACAATTTCACCTGGCTGTGGATAAACAAGCTCCAATTTTATATTTAGTCTGTTTCATTTTCATCTCAGAATTAATCAAGCTTTCTAAGAAATAAATCACATGTGCTAATGAATGAATGAGAATCAGAGAAATTAAAATCTACAGCTAATTTTGATATCTAATTTTAGTCAATAGTTTTCATTTGTTCCTGACTGACTTATCAAATAGCTTATTAGCAGTGATTCATCCTCATAGATTTTCTTTGTACATTCTTTGGGATTTTCTACATATACTAGAGGCCCGGTGCATGAAATTCATGCATGGGGCAGGGGGGGTCTCTCAGCCGGGCCTGCACCCTCTCCAATCCACAACCCCTTGAGGGATGTCCAACTGCCTCTCGCAATCCGGGACTGCTGGCTCCTACCGCTCACCTGCCTGCCTGCCTGATCACCCCTAACCCCTCTGCCTGTGTGCCTGATCACCCCTAACTGTTCCCCTGCTGGCCTGATCACCCCTAACTGCCTCTGCCTCATCCCGCACCCGGGGCCCACGATTCCCTCCTCTGGCGGGTTTCAGGCACCTGGGACCCAGGCTTCCCTCCCTCTGGATGGCTGCAGGCACCCAGGACCTAGGCCGGCTTCACCAGGGCCAGCTGCAGCTGCAGGGGGACCGTGGGCGGGCAGCTTTGCCCGGGCCACAGGCGCTGGCGCCCAGGACCGGAGGCCGTGCCGGCTTGTCCCTCTCCCGGGCCATAGCCTGGCTGGTCCCCATTCCCTCCTCTCCCCATGTTGAGTGTCTGAGCAGGTTAGGGCGTGATGGCCGTGAGGGTGTGACGACCATTT